TGATAATTATAACAGAGGTTTGGAATAGATTTTGATTTTATTATCAATTGTTAAAATAAAATCTATTTTAAAGGGACGGACGAGGAGATAGTGAAAGCAGAGCACCTGATAGTCGAGAATATTCACAAAGTGTTGCCTAAAAGTCACGTAATATTCGTGAGTCAACTGCCGAGAGGCGGTTCCACAGACTTGAGGGCCCGCAATATAAACCAAATGTGGGAAAAGGATGTCAACAAAACGGTGGACCCTTTGCTTCACTTTATTAATCCGTATAAACTGTTCACAAATCCTGATGGCACTCAGAATCTGAAGGTTTATATCGGAGATCGCATTCACCTGAATAAAGCCGGGTATGAGATATTGGCTCAAAGTCTGGAACCACTTATTAAACAATATCTATAAATGAAAATTATTTACAAATTTTATTCAAATAAATTCAATTTTAAAGTTTCTTACATTTAATTCGTTATTCTGTAACAATATTCCACAAAATTAAAGATTATTTTAGTAACATTGCATAAAAAGCTCATCACGTGATTAGTAAAAAGTAAATGTTTTACCAAATTAATCATTTGTTTTAACAATTTACTAGCATAAAAAATTCGTATGATATTAAAATTAATTGTAAATATTTTACTATCATATTTTTTATTTAGAGTTAATTTAGATGTTCAGAAACTTAATCTCAAGATTACGTTATGTTTGATACTAAGCTTTTGTTGGTGTTTTCAAAAGTTATTAAATTAATTCAACTTAAGTATTGCAGCAAAACTATTGGTAATAAAATTAAATTTACAGATAAATCAAATCAAATAGGAATATAATAAACTTACAGAGAATATTGTTTTAAAAATAAAGTAGCAATAAAATTATTACAGTACCTGTATATTATACAGAATATTAGATAAAAACTATTTTACAAAATCAAATTACAAATGATTAATAGTTAAGGAATAACACTGGTATTAAATTAGATAAAATTTTACAGAATATCATACAGAATATGTCTGATTCATAAAACAATATCAAACAACAAATAAATTAACAAAGTTTATAAAAAGTGTATAAAGTAAAATATAACAGAATATCAATTAGAAAAACAAATAAAATCACAAAGTTTTGATTGAAGTGAACAAAAATGTTGTAAAAATATGACAAATAATAATACAAATAATAAAAGAGAATATTTAATAAAACTAAACTAAATTTTAAAAGCAAAGTATTACTACTAGACTGCAAACCATTAAAACACAAAATGAGTTATAATGAGATGTCTTGAGATGAGTCCATGAGATCAATGATCGGCAATGATATCTGTGGTGCCGAACAACACAAGTCTCGCCATTTGGCCGAAAGTCTTGTTATAAGTCTTAATATTGTGTTCATTGAATGTTGTGATCATATCATTGGGCACTAAATAAGACTTATGTCTCGCGAGTAAATGAATGGCGAAGAAGTTGTTGTCCCAAAAGGGGTACAAATCGTTGTAAAGCATTGGCACTAAGTTATGGACACCGAAGGCGTGGCTGACCCTATGGACCAGCGATGGTTTGGGACCTAATATATCACTTGTGGGCAGTTGTCCGGCGTTGTAGTACCAACGGGTGGGCCGGTACTTGTGGTACGACTCGTACCACAACTTCAGGAACCGGGCGTTTTTGTGACCAATGAGCACCTGATTGCCTATCAATACACCAATCAAGACATACATTACTATCACTCTTAGGACCAATTGAGTGACAATTGTAT